GAAGTGGGGTTCGTTTAAAATGCCATTTCATAATATGTCTCTTAATGTCTTTCCTTGTTGTAAAGCACTTTGAATTGCCTTGTGTTGAAAGGTGCTAAATAAATAAACTTGCCTTGCCTTACAAATAAGAGGAAATGCTCTGGCTAGGAAACAATATTGATGGTTAAGTTAAAAATGTAGTACCCCATGGCCATGGCACCTTATATATTTTGACATTTGTTAAGGTGCATGGTTTGTTTTGGATTAGTTTCTGCTGACGTGGAGGTGCATTTTGAGAGATGATATAGTTGAGTTTATATCGCAGACAAAATGTTCCAATATCAGTTTTATCTGAAAACATAGATATAGAAAGCTTTGTTCAATACCACCGCTCATGTGCAATTAATTTAATTTATTTAAATGTATTCACAATTTGTTAACATTAATATAGGGCTGCTCAATTAATCGTATTTTAATTGCAATTACGATTTTGGCTTGCAACGACTATGAAAACAACATAATCGAAATAAAACGATTATTTATTTTATTTGTATTTTTGTATTTATTTATTTTTTCATAATTTTTTTAATTGGTTTTTCAGTTGAACTTAAAGTTCAGGGTAATCAACTGTTAAAAACATACTGTTCACATTTTTTTTTCAATAAATGGAGGTTTTCAAAGTAAATGGATAATCGTTTTTAATAATCGTGATATCAATTATTGACCCAAATAATCGAGATTATGATTTTTGCCATAATCGAGCGGCCCTACATTAATAGCTACTTCAATATTTTCACAAAATGCTACTTTTTATTACCATGGTGTACGCATCTGTTATTTAATTTACCTATTCTGTTTTATTATTAATATTGTTAGCCTGCTTTTATTAAATAAGATCTAAGTCTCTTACTCTTTTTACTTTTAATTTGCACTGTACCGTTGTACTGCGGGACAAATAAAGGATTCTAATGTTTGATATAACTCACTCTTCCTGTTCTCCTCCCTCTGGTCCTCAGGGTGGCGGTGGTGGGGAATGTGGACGCGGGGAAGAGCACTCTGCTGGGGGTTCTGACCCACGGTGAGCTGGACAATGGCCGAGGCTTTGCTCGCCAGAAGCTCTTTAGACACAAACATGAAATGGAGAGTGGCAGGACCAGCAGTGTGGGCAATGATATCCTGGGGTTTGACAAGGAGGGAGAGGTGAGCTTCTGCCACGTTCAGGACGTACTGTAGACACCAGGGGGGTGAAATGGAGAAAGTTAAAGTTCCTATAATAAGTGTTTAAAGGTCACCTATCATAACTCTTCTTCATCAATATATCCCAGGTCTCAGATATATCCAGAGCCTGTCTCTGATTGGCTGAAACACCAAACAGATCATTGCAGCATTACCCATAATCCCCTCTGTTTCCAAAGTGCTGATTCTCTGTCTGTAGCTTTAAATGCTAATGAGCTGCTGCTGGCCACGCCCCTCTGAGAGATGATTGGTTAAAAAGAACTCAATGTTGCTCTAGGAGGAGATTCAGGTGATAAGGGGGGGGGGCGGGGGTTACCTTGGTTGCTGATTGGCTAATGGTTACACAAGACAAAACATCGTTATGACATCATAAAGTGGCCAAAATCTGATCAGCTCATTTTCAGACAGGTTTTTATAAAAATGGATCAGGAGAAAAAGAGAGAGAATCTTTGTTCCTGAAACTTTCAGAGTCTCTTTACACAGAGGGGACACATGTTGATGTAGAAGAGACATGAAGAAGAGGGGACACATGTTGATGTAGAAGAGACATGAAGAAGAGGGGACACATGTTGATGTAGAGGAGACATGAAGAAGAGGGGACACATGTTGATGTAGAGGAGACATGAAGAAGAGGGGACACATGTTGATGTAGAAGAGACATGAAGAAGAGGGGACACATGTTGATGTAGAAGAGACATGAAGAAGAGGGGACACATGTTGATGTAGAAGAGACATGAAGAAGAGGGGACACATGTTGATGTAGAAGAGACATGAAGAAGAGGGGACACATGTTGATGTAGAAGAGACATGAAGAAGAGGGGACACATGTTGATGTAGAAGAGACATGAAGAAGAGGGGACACATGTTGATGTAGAAGAGACATGAAGAAGAGGGGACACATGTTGATGTAGAAGAGACATGAAGAAGAGGGGACACATGTTGATGTCGAAGAGACATGAAGAAGAGGGGACACATGTTGATGTAGAAGAGACATGAAGAAGAGGGGACACATGTTGATGTAGAAGATACATGAAGAAGAGGGGACACATGTTGATGTAGAAGAGACATGAAGAAGAGGGGACACATGTTGATGTAGAAGAGACATGAAGAAGAGGGGACACATGTTGATGTCGAAGAGACATGAAGAAGAGGGGACACATGTTGATGTAGAAGAGACATGAAGAAGAGGGGACACATGTTGATGTAGAAGATACATGAAGAAGTGGATAATAGGTGACCTTTAAGATTAAAGACTGATTACAGTATATCCATATTGACCATAACAACCTCTTTAAAGGTGGGGTAGGTAAGTTTGAGAAACCGGCTCGAGATCGCTAGAATTTGAAAATACACAGCCGGAGAAAATCTGCCACTTCCTTACAGAGCCCCTCCTCCAACAAACACGAACGCGCACATGACCAATGAGGGCACGAGATAAGTTTGTGCACAGATGGAAGGCTGACAGGCAGGTAGGCCATCCAGTTATTTTAGCCGGGCCTGCTAAAATGATTGGTCGTGCTTTTTACAGTATTACGGCTTCCACAGATGACATTTATTTATGGATTTTTTGTCAAAGCACTTCAGATATTCATTGCTATCGGGATGTTAAGAGCATTCCATGGAATATAACAGAAAGTGTATCTCGAGCCGGTTTCTCAAACTTACCTACCCCACCTTTAAAGGTATAGCTTCTTAATAAGCTAGCTTTCTTTATTCCTCAAAGTGTGATATCATGTGAGAAGGCGATACAACTCCTAAAGCAGCAAATGTGTTGACATTATTTTCCCATTCAGATGATTTGATCCCAGTACAGTGTAAAGAAATGTCACCTTTTCCACATTTTGTTCAAATTTGTTAGTTAATTTTCTGTCAGCTACAACTCCTAAACTTAAAAGCTTTCAGCAGCAACTAGGTTCAAAATCATTTTCCATTAAGATAAGATACAAGTGTTTTTATTCATTGTATTTGAGAAGAGACCATGCACATTAATTAACATGAGCACTACGAAACGTATACTAAAAGCACAGATAATAACTAATAGACACAGTTATTAATTATTATTTTCAGTACAGTGTCAAGTAATGTAACTTTTTTTTAAATTGTATTTTTCTCTCTTGGAGTTGTATTTCTACCATTTCTCCCCCTCGCTGTGTAAATCATCTGTAATCTCTGTGTGTGTCTCTGCTCCTTCAGGTTGTGAATAAACCCGACAGCCACGGCGGCGGCCTGGACTGGACGAAGATCTGTGAGAAATCCTCAAAGGTCATCACCTTCATCGACCTGGCGGGACACGAGAAGTACCTGAAGACCACTGTGTTCGGCATGACGGGACACCTGCCTGACTTCTGCATGCTCATGGTGAGAGAGAGGGGGGGTGAAGGGCAAGTGTGTGTACGCATATACACATGGGGGAAATGGAAATCTACTTTTGGGTCCAGTCTCAAGTTAGGAAAACTCTCCCTTGTCTCCGGCTTGATCTTCAATCTCATGATCCATGTATTTGTGATCCTCTCAAGAATGGAAGTAGTCATCACATAAATGGAGGAATACTGGTTCTAGTAGGTAATCATACATCCTGTCATGTACAAAATACTGAGTTTTTTTCTCAAAATGTTGGCTTTTTTCTCAAAATCTCAACATGACTTTTTCTCAAAATTCTGACTTTTTCTCAAAATTCTGACTTTTTCTCAAAATTCTGACTTTTTCTCAAAATTCTGACTTTTTCTCAAAATTCTGACTTTTTCTCAAAATTCTTTCTCAAAATCTCAAAATTCTGACTTTTTCTCAAAATTCTGACTTTTTCTCAAAATTTCAAAATTCTGACTTTTTCTCACAATCAACAAATCTGACTTTTTCTCAAAATTCTGACTTTTTCTCAAAATCGCAAAATTCTTACTTTTTCTCAAAAAGTCTGACTTTTTCTCAAAATCCGGACTTTTTCTGAATACTTAAAAATGTTAATAATCACTGGTCAGCGGCTTGAGCTTCAATCTCAGGATCCATGTATTTGTGATCCTCTCCAGAATGGAAGTAGTCATCACATACAGAGCATCAACTAGTTCCTGAACAGTGTCCTTCACATGCTGATATCCAAGAGAGGGAGTTACACAGTCCCAAGATGGAGGAATAGAAAGCAGTATTCAATGTTTACTTCAGATTAGCTCCACGTCAGAAATGATCATGCTTGTCATATGTCTATCTCCATAGAGGCTGAATCATCATGTTAATCACATAGCTATCATATGCCTAAAACAGTCCTGATGCTCTTCTAGGTAATCATACATCCTGTCATGTACACAGCTACACTTGGGATACCTTTGTTATCATGTTACTCTCTCTCTGTCTCAGGTTGGCAGTAACGCCGGCATCGTGGGGATGACCAAAGAGCACCTGGGTCTCGCTCTGGCTCTCAATGTGCCCGTGTTCGTGGTGGTGACTAAGATAGACATGTGTCCAGCCAACATCCTGCAAGGTAAACAACCCCTGTAACTCATAGACTCTTTTAAATGTCATCTAAAGACATTCCTGTTTGGGCAGGCGTTTGGGTAACTTTGGGTGTTTTTTTATTGTGTTTTTCACAATGTATTGTGATTTTAGCACTTCTTAACACATTTCTGATTCGTATGAAGTGTTAATGCTTTGCCAAGCACTTTGTGACTATGGCTGCAGCCACACGAGAACGGTAACGGTCGTATCCGCTACAGTTCTCTATCATATAGACCAGGGGTCGGCAACCCCTGGCACCGTAACCAGTGGCACACTAGGAATATGTGGAATAAGTGTGCAAAAATATTTACATTTTATTTTCGGATCCTGAACGAGACCGCCGCCAGAGCGCGTCTCCCCGTTACCTGCAGAAGGAAGCCATGCACGCAACGCGGCCCCGCTCTCTTTAACTCCAGGCGGCTTTCTGCCGCTTTCCTCCGTAATGCAGTGCTGATAGTTTCACCACAGAGGAAAGCACTTCACAAATTGCATTACCCATAAGGAGCTGTAAAAATGCCGCAGTTTTTGCGTGGCAATCGATATCGGCCGATACTCACTCTCTGCCGATCGATCGGTGCTCTCTAAAAATGCCGATCGCGAGACGTGAAATACGTGACACTTTTCTCTGTGCGCGGCAAAACAAGCTCGCTGGCTTCACCAGTCTGGCAGTATTTTAAGGTGTCCGAAAATGACAATAAAATAGCGGTATGCAACGTGTGTGAAGCAGAAATCCTGCAGCTCCACCCGCTGTGACGGAGCGGTGAGCGGAGCAAAACACACACTAAGAGTTAGACCTAACAAACTTAGCTATTTGATCTACCTCTGGAACTAGTTCTAAATATATTTATTCTTCACTGTCACTCATTACTGGATCAGTGAGCTGCAGGAGATACTGACAGGCTGTCAGGAGAGAGAGAGAGGGGGAGAGAGGAAAAGAGAGCGCTTCAGCTCATTTCTCCCGTGTCATTATCCAAAGTTAATGTAAACTTGAATAATGTAGGCTATCATTTGAATGTAACAATTATGTTGGTTGGTGTTTGTGGAAGCGCCAGTGAATGAGCCCCATTAACTGAGTTTTAAACATCACTTTTCACGAGCGTTTTCGTCGAGCTCTTCACCCCCCCCCCTTGATAATTCACGATCGTCGGCACGCTGATAAAAACATTTCTTTTGAATGGCACTTCATATCAAAAAGGTTGCCGACCCCTGATATAGACGGTTCGGCCACACGAGGCCGACATGGAAACGCAGAAAACGATAATGGGTCCTAATAGTACAGCGGATAAGCACAACAATTGTGCATTTTATGAGAAAAGCATGACATTTCTAACATAGTTAGAGCATACCATAAGGTTTATTTTCAGATGTGGAGGGAAGTCAGATTTGACCCGTGAGGACCGTGAGAGGTCAAATCCAAGATGGCCGCCAGTCTCTCGGGTCAAATGTTCAAACACGCTTAATTTTGGAACCAAACATTGTAGAAAAACATTTAAGGTGTCATATCCAACAAAATTAGGGATGCCCAATCATTTGGTGATACTTTTGAGATCGCCAGAATTCAAGAAAATGCATTTAGGTGAAGATAAAGGTAGAAATTGACCAAAAATAAGCTGTCAATCAGTTGAAAATTGGTGTGTGTGTGTGTGTGTGTGTGTGTGTGTGTGTGTGTGTGTGTGTGTGTGTGTGTGTGTGTGTGTGTGTGTGTGTGTGTGTGTGTGTGTGTGTGTGTGTGTGTGTGTGTGGTGTGTGTGTGTGTGTGTGTGTGTGGTGTGTGTGTGTGTGTGTGTGTGTGTGTGTGTGTGTGTGTGTGTGTGTGTGTGTGTGTGTGTGTGTGTGTGTGTGTGTGTGTGTGTGTGTGTGTGTGTGTGTGTGTGTGTGTGTGTGTGTGTGTGTGTGTGTGTGTGTGTGACCCAGCGCTAGCATTAATACAGAGACTGGAGGAATATGGCTTTACTTGGCACAGTCTGCATGCTGATGAAAACATTTGTTTTTGTCTTCAAATACATACTAACATGATTGTGACGAGCATAATATTTGCTCCCCGCCCAACTCTCTAAGTGCTTGAACTCCGTGACAGGAGGATGAAGTACCGTATGTATAAATGGATGGAACTATCAACAAAACAACAGCGTTTTATTCCCCAATGTCATATTTAATAGAAAAATAATGATGCACCACTTATTGGAGAAAGAAGAATGGGGAACAGAAAGGTTTAGAGAGGGACAACATGCTGAAACCTTGCAACTTCAGTGCCAGAGAAAAAAGGTACTGTGAGTACACTTGTGGTTATTGTCCTCATGTTGCACATAGAAAATTCAATTAAGATGTTTACCGCATGTGGGCAAAAATCCATCAATCTTTCAATTTTCTAAAACTTGTTATATCCTTAGAGTCATTTAAAATGAGTTTTTTTCTCCATGCCATGGAGTCTAAATGGGTAAACCTTTGTATTTGTAATTGTACAGCCATGCTAGGACAAACAAATCCCCTTTGCCAATGTTCTCTCTGCACTCTCTGCCACACACACAACATACATAACCCTTTCTTTGCATGACCTCTAAATGTCCATGTGAGCCACTAAAGAACAGAAAAAAAGCTGCGCTACCTTGGGCGCTTTATAGGTGGACAGGCAGGGAATCGAACCCCAACCCTCTATAAGTGGAAAGGGACAGCGGTGAACCTTATAGTTGAGTGCAGCCCTTTGTTAACAGCGAGGGTTAAGAGAGCTGTTTGTGCTCTACATGGAACTGTTTTCCATCTCCCTCTTTGGTTTACATTATTATTATTATTTTTCTATTAAATATGACATTGGGGAATAAAACGCTGTTTTGTTGATAGTTCCATCCATTTATACATACTTCATCCTCCTGTCATGGAGTTCAAGCACTTAGAGAGTTGGGCGGGGAACAAATATGATGCTCGTCACAATCATGTTAGTATGTATTTGAAGACAAAAACAAATGTTTTCATCAGCATGCAGACTGTGCCAAGTAAAGCCATATTCCTCCAGTCTCTGTAGTAATGCTAGCGCTGGGTGACCATAAATCCACTGGAATATACCACACACACACACACACACACACACACACACACACACACACACACACACACACATTTTGCAAATTTCAACTGATTGACAGCTTATTTTTGGTCAATTTCTACCTTTATCTTCATCTAAATGCATTTTCTTGAATTCTGGCGATCTCAAAAGTATCACCAAATGATTGGGCATCCCTAATTTAGTTGGATATACCACATCACACACACACACACACACACACACATTTTGCAAATTTCAACTGATTGACAGCTTATTTTTGGTCAATTTCTACCTTTATCTTCACCTAAATGCATTTTCTTGAATTCTGGCGATCTCAAAAGTATCATCAAAGGATTGAAGAAGAGCTCTGACCGGCACTTTTCTAATTGTGTCCGGAAGATTTAAACTTTAACGGACATGTTGACCGGCGGGAAAAAAAATCTAACGGAAACTCTGCTGCACGGTTCCCTCGTCCCTTGGAAGAGGTGGAGAGGTGGGTGTTTGTCATCTGCTGGTGGACTACCGGAGAGATATACAGCAGGAGCACACGCTTGCCTCGGGGAGTACAGCACCACTTACAGGCCCGGCATATGTACTACAGCGTCTCCAGCGCTTTCGAGCGGTCTCGTGTGAACAGACACGTTTCTGGTGCCTATTGCATGTGGACGAAAGACTTTTTTGATATCGAATTCGGTTAGTTTGTGTTACCGTTCTCGTGTGGCTCCAGTCTATGTCTGGGAAAAAATGTTTTACTTACTTACTTACTCATGTAGGGCTCAGCTACGTGCAGTCATGGGAGGCAGGGGAGGCAGAGCCTCACCTGTCATACTCCAATGTAACGGAAAAACAACTAAAGAAAAACTAAATAGTAATAATAATAATAATAAAATGTCTCCACTGATCTGTGTTGTAAGTGTGATTTCTGTATGATTCCAATCGCATTTTATAGTCAAAATCAGCTAATTTGCCGAGCTCCGCTACGGGAGCAATGACAAGTGAGGCAGGGACGAGCTCTGCCTCTCGTAAGCCCACAGTAACTTGCTGGAGCGCGGGCACTAATTTAGCGCGGCCACTTATTTTGTGAGCGCGCTCAAGCCAGTTACCATGGGGTGAGGTGAGGTGAGGCACAGATGAGCTCTGCCTCACCTCAGAATGCGTCACCCCACAGAAACTGTCTGGAAAGCGGGCCCTAAGCGCATGCCTGTTCCCATCTCACTGTAGGTCACCAATGTAATGTTTGTAGATCCCTTTATTACATTTATCCTCGCCATCCATAGTCTCTAAATAACTTATTTCACGTATATATGATATTTAGGCTCGCTGGTCTCATCATACAACGGCAATGAAAAAGCACCAGGGGAGGCAGCCATAACCTCTGCCGCACTGAAGGGGGCGCACGTGAGCCCACAGGTTCTTGTTGCTACTGTAATTCTACCGCAAACAACAAACTAGACTTTTGAAACTACTTGAAGATAAGGAGGACTTTTACAAAACAGTAATAGAGATTGTTGTCCAGAAGGATAGCATGGACTTCATCTTCAAGTCAAGGTAAGACCACATTTGTAATGAAAATGGGATCTTACTTAGAAAGAACAATCCAATATTTAGATTTTGGGTATCCTTTTGTTGAACGGTCTGTTTAAAATGAATCGAAGCATCAGACTAAAAAAGCTTTTGAAAATAACCGAATATTTCGATTAAGGTCAAAATATAATATTTGTAAATCTGACTGAAAGAGTCAGTGCCTCACCAGCCATGAACCTCACCGCACGTCACTGGTAGGGCTGCACAATTAATCAAAATCTCAACAATCTGGAACTCCATCCCTAGCCACGTCCGATCTGCCAACACTCGCACGTCATTCAAACAATCAACCTAGCTTTGCACTTTTTACTTTTGTTGTTATTTTTCTTCTTTGCTTTCTTGTAACGCGCTTTGAGCACCAGGAAAAGCGCTCCAATCCAACTTTATTTTAAAAACAACAGAGTTGACCAAAGTGCAGTACATCAATAAATATATAAAAAAGCATTTAGATACATTTAGACAAAACCGATAGGACAAAAAAGAAACTAATGTAAAAGCAGGAGACAATAAAACCATACTTATAGCCACAGACTGAAAACCCTCATACATGATGGAGACAGTGTCCGGCAGTGGCTCAGTCCGTAGGGGCTTGGACTGGGAGCTGTAGGGTCGCCGGTTCAAGTCCCCGACCAGACCTAAATATGGAGTGTGTAGTGCTACTTGGAGAGGTCCCAGTTCACCTCCTGCCCTGCCAAGCTAAAGGTACCTGAATAGTATTTTGGAGCTGTGGAAATAATAGGCGTGTTCACACCGGAGTACTTTTCCCCGTTTAGTTCCGATAGTGCCTGGAATTTTGCGTTCACAGCAAAAAGAGAACTTTTATCCCCATTTGTAGTGCCTGCTAGAGAGGTGGGACTATCCTGGGGAGAAAAAAGTACCATTTTCGATTGGCTGGGCGAATTGCAAACCACGCCCCGTAAAACTTGGAAAAGTTTTGTGAAGCCGCCATTGTATTTGCTGGCATTAGCATTATTAGCATTAGCATTAGCCCCGCGCACCAACGGAGAGAGAATAACTTATGGCAACACAAAAGAAAACATGGGAGCGGTGGAGATGAGGAGGTGTCGGCGTTCTGACGATTTACTCTGAAGGCTTCAGTAGAAGCTGCTGGGAGTCCCAGCAGCTTCTACTGAAGCCTTCCCCAACTCCGGGGACTTCCGGCCGGGGACTCCAGGTGGCAGTATACGCCGTGAAGTTGTTTGCGGCCTGCCAGTAAACCCAAAGAAGAAGAAGTGACGTCAGCGGCTTCATTTGCGTAATCTCCCCTCAGGGAACTTATTCCGGGTGTGAACGCGATCTGTACTAAGTGCCCTGGGGGTACTAAGTGCCCTGGGGGTACTAAGTGCCGGCAAAGTACTTGGTGTGAAAGCAGCTTATTATACAGACTTAATAAAAGTTCCTTGTTTGGTACAGAAACTCTTAAAAAATCACACGATGATCATTTAAACATATTTATAAGGATAATGTGAATAACAACAATAACAAAAATGATCATCCTTCCCTTTTAAATATCACAAATCATATCACATTATCTGTTTAATATTATAGCCCTAATGTCATCGCCACAACTCTCTGAATTCACTCTGATTTGAACTTCATACTTTTACTAACTTGCATCAAGTAAGACAAGTGATAATGGATTTTATAATTCCCCATGTGCACAGACTCCTCTCTAGGAAGTCAGTTATTAGAGAGAGTAATGTGATGTGATTACAGCAACGAGTCCTGCTGTTAAAAACACAATGACTCCTCGTGCTTTAATGATGTTAATGCGGTGTGTGTGTGAAACCAAACACTCACTCACAATGAGAGCCTCTCCAGAGTTCACTTTGCATAAATCACAAATCCCTGCAAGAGCAAATTAACAAAGCAAATGGGAGCAGTGCAGAAAAACAGGGAGTCTGGTTAATAAACTATGATTTAAATATGCTTTAAAATAAACACACACACACACACACTTTTTGGTTAACACGCTTCTGTGTACTGTTATGCTGTTATGTTCAGTCATCGTTCTTATGTTGAACATGAATACATTTCATGGACGTATTTCTTCTTTCATAGCAATTTTCCTTCATACTTTCATTCCGTGAAATAGGTCTTAAATTCTATTCAAAGTGGTCTTAAAAAGTCTTACATTTGAGTTGGTGAAACCTGCAGGAAGCATCGACGGAAGTGCCAGCCAATCAAATCATATGCCAGTACAAGCGCTAGCCAATCAAACCGCGTGCTTGTCTGTCCGGGGCGGGAGATTAATGCGATTGGTTGTTGGTCGCGCACCAGACACGCCCACCGGCAAGCTTTGACGCGACGCTGCCGTGTGGACGTACCGTTACAGTTGTTCACAGACAGCCAGTGTTTTTGTTTGTAAAATGACATGTTGATAATAAGCTGTATTTATACAGCACTTTTCATACATCACATGCATCTCTTCATATCCTCACCTCCTCATCCCCTTTTCTCCTCACTTCCTCACCTCCTCATCTCTTCATATCCTCACCTCCTCATCTCCTTTTCTCCTCACTTCCTCACCTCCTCATCTCTTCATATCCTCACCTCATACAGATATAGTACAGTATATATACAGATAATAGTAATACAAATGCCATCATTCCAATAAAGGTGAAAGGATTAACAAATAAAAAAGACCAACGTAAAAATTAATATTGCTATTGAAGCATTTTAGATTGTTAGAATAAAATAAGATCAAATCCTTTAAGACCTATACCATAAATAAAACAATACAAAGGTAGGTCAATGATTTGTATTTTCTTTGTTTCTGCAGAGACGCTAAAGCTGCTGCAGAGGTTACTAAAGTCTCCGGGCTGCAGGAAGATCCCCGTGTTGGTCCAGAACAAAGACGACGTCATCGTGACGGCGTCCAACTTCAGCTCCGAGAGGTGAGAGGAGGAGACGGGGGAGACGGGGGAGACGGGGGAGACGGGGGAGACGGGGGAGAGTCAAATATATATCCTACAAAGAAATGATGAAAATGCTTTATTTAATTCTTTATTTGAACAGGGAGTGTCCTTGAGAGCATCATGTAGTTTAAGTACACGGTTAGTTTCACATTAAAGGAAGCAGGTACAAGTATGATTGCGAGTATGTGTTTAAAATCATCGAGAGATGAGAGTAACACATGCGTCACTTCCGAGCAAAAATGACGGCTCCGCCCACTTTTGGGGGAAAACAAAGCTGTCATTTGAATGGCGGTCAATACAAATTCTGAAGTTTTTGCCAATCCGATCAGAAATTTTAAGAAAACCGTGGATTTGTGGATCTTCAAAGAGCCCGATTACGATGGCCAGACATGCAAACAATTACATTAAATCATTGGAAATCGACGATCCGGCTCGATATATGGGTAAATATAGCAGTAGGCGATCGATGTCCATAGATGAGAGTAACATCTACGTCACTTCCGGGCGAAAGTTACAAGCTTCAAAGTTGTATTTCTCATCTGAATTTGCCGAAACAAGTTTAATATTCTGAAAGCCAAGACTTTGTTTATTTGAAATCAGATGAAAACAAACTGTAACGGACCCTGCCGTGTTATCTATGGTTACTATACGCCTTACATTCATAATGTCAGCCGGAGGGAGGGGGAGCAGCGCTGCGGAAGAGCAGGGTGCGAGTGAGAGCTGCCTTCTTCCCTTTACAAGCTTCAAACATGTATTTATCGTGTGATTTTGGAAATAAAAGTTTCATATTCTGAAAGCCAAGACTTTGTTTATTTAAAATCAAACAAAACACCCGAACCCCGAAAAACTATTTTTTTACGCAAATCCACGTTTATTTTGAAATGAGCCGTTGCGACTTCCGACTGATTTCGATGGAGCGGGTCACATATATCTTCAAAACATTTCGTCTCAAATTTTTGTAAAAAATCATGTTAAAAAATCCAATCAATAAACATGTTTCATTTTATAGGATTTCTAATAAGAGTTTCCACAAAATCTGACTTATCTATCGCACCCCATCTACAGAGATCCAGTCCTAAACTCTAATACCTTCATCGGTACTGTGTACTTGTCTTATAATAACTTTAACGCCCCTCTCTCTGCAGGATGTGTCCCATCTTCCAGATCTCCAATGTGACGGGGGAGAACATGGAGCTGCTGAAGATGTTCCTCAACCTGCTCTCCTCCAGAACATACTTCAACAACGACGAGCCCGCAGAGTTCCAGATCGACGACACCTACTCTGTACCGGTACGAAATAACACTTTATGCTCCTAGCTGTTTGTTTGTTTCCCTTAGGGCGCATTCACACCAGCCTTTTATAGTCCGGTTGAATCAAACCCTAGTGCGTTTAGCCGCTTGGTGCGGTTCGTTTGGGTCGGTGTGAACACAGTCCGAGACCTCTGAAGTGAACTAAACAACCGGACTCTGGTCCGCTAAAATAGGTGGTCTCGGACCGCTTGCTAGTGAACTCTGGAGCGGTTCATCGCTGGTGTGAACGCAGTCCGCACCAAAACATAGGAAGCGTAGTATTTACGTGTCACAAGAACGCGGATGTCTTCAAAATCGTTAGCGAAAGAGTGAAGCAGAATGAAGAGTTGAACAGTGTCGTGTAAAGTAAAAACAACTATCAAACTAAAAACTATACATAAAAGTAAGAGCCACCTGCCGTCGGTGAAACCCCCTCCTTACTTCAGAACTTCTCTCATTGTATGTGTTATAATGTTTTGTATCGCACGGTGTCTGATTATATAATCATATGCGCCGTTGATGTGCTCTCCAGATTAACAACAGCATGAAAATAACCTGCTGATGCTCCATGGCGGAGGCTCCGGTAGAAATTGCCGGGATTTGCGTTTTTACCCCCGTAATGTCTGACCAATGGTTGAACAGCATTTCCGTGCACATGACTTGTGTTTAAAGTTTATAGTCCGTTTGAATTTTGCCCGTGTGAACGCAAACCAAACCTTCGGGAAAATGAAACAATGTAACAAACTGTGGTCTGGTGCGCAGCAGAGAAGCGGACTATGAGGTGTGAATGCACCCTTAGTTTAGCAGTGAAGGTCTGAGAGTCTCTGCTGTTGTTAAACCCAGTGTCTCTCAGTAGAGATGTGTGAACATGTTTCTAAAGAGAAATACATATTTATTGCCAGGAATACACAAATGGATGTAATGGAGTTTTGGCGATTAGGCCCCGTTGTGCAGGAGCATCATTCGGGAGGGGAGAACCGATCCGATGAAACCCCCCCCCCGGGGTCTAGACCAGGGATCGGCAACCCCTGGCACGCGTGCCACCATTGGCACACTAGGAATAAGTGGAATAAGTGTGCAACATTTTAAAATTGTATTTTCGGATCCTGAACGAGACCGCCGACGTTACCTGCAGAAGGAAGCCATGCACGCAACGCAGCCCCGCTCTCTTTAACTCCAGGCGACTTTCTGCTGCTTTCCTCCGTGGTGCAGGGCTGATCGTTTCACCACAGAGGAAAGCACTTCACAAATTGCAGTAGGAGCTACTATAAGGAGCTGTACAAATGCCGCAGTTTTTGCGTGGCTTTAGTTGAAAGCCCAGTGGCGATCTGCTCATCTCTCATCGAAATAACATGCTACACAGGGCCACCTGTGTGTTCTGGAGAATCACAGAACGGACGATCGTCCTTATTATTAAGCTCCTCAAAAACGCTATCGAAGCAGATCCTGCCGTTGCTAAGGAGGATCAAGAAAGAGAAAGTAAAAGACGGAGCACTGGACGTCAGATACATCCCCAGAAGAAGGCAGAGAGGAAGTAAACACTAACAGGAACACGGTATGGGCTCTGCAGAGTTTAGGGACTTGTTAGTGGATCAGAAACTGTGAACAGAGTTGGACAGTGCTGCCGTAAAGTTGTTGTTGTCGCAGTTCCAGCCGTTGGTACGCCGTGGAACGGAGTTTTTTTTTTTCTTAGCCCGAAGAAATACGATAATTTTGAAGTCAATAAAATCATTTCAATTCATATTGAGAGTCGAGTCGATAGTTTGTTTAGTATATGGCCTTGTAATAAGCGGGATATATACGCTTCGCGTCGGGCTCTCTGATAGTGGCCGCCTCGCTGCACATTATCCCTTACTTAGCCAATTCCTTTTGATTGGTTTAATGATCGCTTTTCTTATCACAATAAATAGGTAAGATATTTTAATGTTTGCATGCATGACATCCTCCTAATTTGTGAGTACAACTAGTGAGGACCATCCAGCCTCTAGAAGAATTTGAAAAAAAACGACTATAAAACATGTCGTGAAACACCCGCTGGACGAGGTTCCTGTTATAAAACATGTGACGGTCACAAGGAAGTCTGTTTGTTTCTCCTCCCATGGAGCTTTATCTTGCAAGGTTATAAAACACTGCATCCTACACCTTAAAACTTTTTTAGGATTACATTACATTACATGTATATAGGGTTGCAAAATTCCGGGAATTTTCAAAGATGGAAACTTTCCATGGGAATTTATGGGAATAAACTGGGAATCTTCAAAATTGAAGGTTGGCTCTTCATAGGGAACTTAAATATAGTTGGGGAAAGTATATTTTAGCATAACAAACAGATGCCATTCAAGTACACTTGAATATCCATGCCATAGCACACTGCTTACTGCATGGCTATTGAGACCACACAAAGGTTCGCAACAGGCTCACAAATGTGAGAGTGGAAAAACTGGTTGGCATTCGGGGAAACCTAAGGCTCTTTGAGCCGGACACAGAGCCATCCTCAACAAGGCTGGACAGTGACACTGAAGAGGAAGAGGAAGAGTTGGATGTTGATGAGGCCCAGGAAGAGCCCGTTGACTGAAAGGGTTTAGCAAAAATGCAGAGGATTGCTTGAACGAAGATTAGCATGTTTAATGGGACTTTGTGGGGATTTTTGGATGGGGGGTGCATTTTTGTTCATTTTTTAATGAGTGGGGTTGAAGGGGATGAGTAATATTTAACTCAACATTCCTGTTTTCGTTCTTCAATGAAACAAATAATTGTTCAATACAATTATTAAAACTTGTTCTGTTCTACTTAAAAAAAATATATGTATGTAAGTCGCTTTTATCTAAAGCGAGTTACACACTAAATTCTGTGGGCAATCCCCACAGGAGCAATTTGGGGTGAAGTGTCTCAGGGACACAACGACATGCTGACTGCAGTGGGGTTTGAACCTGTGCTCCCCTGATCTGAACACTAACGCACTAGTCCACTGTGCCACATGCCTCCCATTACATACATAGAGGAACTTCAGTAAATCAATCATATTATTTAGCGAATTTCAATATTCAAACAAAGTTTAGTTTGAATATTTTTTATTCTATTAACTTTTCTGCGTGATCTGTTTGGTATTTTGAGCAAAGCACATCAGAGATGAATGCTGAAGCCCTGTGATGAATGCTGTCTGTTCTCTCTCTCGTCAGGGCGTGGGCACAGTGGTTTCGGGGACTACGTTACGTGGAATGATCCGTCTCAACGACACGCTGCTGTTAGGCCCCGACCCGCTGGGAACCTTCATCCCCATCGCCGTGAAATCCATCCACCGCAAGAGGATGCCGGTCAAAGAGGTTCGGGGGGGACAGACGGCCTCCTTCGCCCTCAAAAAGGTTTGTGGGACAACGATGAGTCTGAGCTTCATGATCTGTCTCTGGTTTGGCTTCATCCCTTCAACTTCATTTCTGTGTTTTCTTTTGTTCTTCATCTCCTCATCTCCTCACCTCCTCATCTCCTCCTCTCTTCACCTCCTCTCCTCCTCACCTCTTCATCTCCTCACCTCCTCATCTCCTGATATCCTTAACTCCTCATCTCCTCATCTCCTCAGCTCCTCATCTCCTCCTCTCTTCACCTCCTCTCCTCATCTCCTCACATCATCTCCTAATTTCCTCACCTCCTCATCTCCTCCTCTCTTCCTCATATCCTCACATCTTCATCTCCTCACATCATCTCCTAATTTCCTCATCTCCTCACCTCCTCACCTCCTCATCTCCTGATATCCTTACTTCCTCATCTCCTGATATCCTCACCTCTTCATCTCCTCACATCATCTCCTAATTTCCTCATCTCCTCACCTCCTCATCTCCTGATATCCTTACCGCCTCATCTCCTCATCTCCTCCCCTCCTCATATCCTCACCTCCTCCTCATCTCCTCATTCTCCATCTCCTCACCTCTTAATCTCCTCACTTCATCTCCTAATACTCCATATCCTCTCCTCTTCATCTCCTCACCTCCTCACCTCCTCCTCTCCTCACCTCCTCCTCTCCTCACCTCCTCATACCCTCACCTCCTCCTCTCCTCACCTCCTCCTCTCCTCACCTGATGCTCTGGCTTTAACTCTAGTTTGTCTTCATCCCTTCACAACTTCATTTGTTCATTTGTGGGTTTTCTTTTGTGTTTCCTCAGATCAAGCGCTCGTCGATAAGGAAAGGAATGGTGATGGTTGCTCCAAAGTTGATGCCTCAGGCCACGTGGGAGTTTGAGGCTGAGATCTTGGTGCTCCACCACCCCACCACGATATCCCCCAGATACCAGGCCATGGGTCAGTGTCCACAACATCCGTATATCTAAACACTCAGAACATTAGAATATAACAGACACACTGGAGACACTCAAGAAAAATTGTTGTTTATTTTGTATGTGTACAAACCCCAGAATATTAATAATAAAGCTTTATTTATACAGCACTTTTCATACAGCACGTGCGGCTCAAAGTGCGTTACAAAATGGCGACACATCATAAGTCAAAAATAAACAATAAATTCCCCTTAGATCAGATGTTAAGACCTTTACAGATACATGCAGCATAGCAACAAAATATAACATTTAACAGGTTAAGAGACACAAGGACGTAAAAGGTATGATAATACAAATGAAATGTTGCTATTAAAACTTTTAAATAAATAATATAAGATGAAACACTTTAAGACCTATAAAACAATATAAAAGTAGGTAAATAATAAAGACCATTTAAAGGCGGGGTAAAGTCACGTCTTTATTGATGTCTATAAGACGTTATTTTGAGTGTGGATGGTGCAGCTACAACGCTAGCTTAGCAGATCGATCCAATCTACTAATCGGTATCAGTTTGTAGTTATTTCGGCATCAGTTTGATATGTGTATTAGAACACTAGAATATAACACTATAACATCACAGACACACTGGAGACACTCGGTCTGTGATTGTTTATAAATGTATGGGTAAGAAACTACAGAATGTCTATGGCATTGCAGATAAAGTCGCTGCTTTACTCACCTCGAATGCTCTTATTTTGAGAGTGGACAGAGCAGCTACAGTGTTAGCTTAGCCTAGCTACATCAATCGGATCTCCATAAAAAAAACACACCTTCAAAGTTTTTTGCCAAAGTATTAATTTGTGGTTTTTACTAATCGGTATCAGTTTCTAGTTTGATATGTGTATTACAATTAAATCACTGCAAAATATGTTCATTTTGGGTTCATACCACTGTAGAAAATAACATTGTTCAGCTGACTTGTGACTTGCTCCAGCTCTCACTCTTAGCTCTCGTTTTGGGTGAATTTACATTTGATTTTTACGAGTTCCTGCTTCATGGTCACCCTGAAACCTTCCTACATAAAGTGACTGTGTTCCTCCTCTCTCACTACCCACAGTGCACTGCGGCAGCATCAGGCAGACGGCCACCATCCTCACCATGAACAGAGACTGTCTAAGGACGGGAGACAAAGCCACGGTGCACTTCCGCTTCATCAAGACCCCCGAATACCTGCACTGTGACCACAAGCTGGTGTTCAGGGAGGGCCGCACCAAGGCTGTGGGCACCATCACCAAGGTGTGTGTGTGTGTGTGTGTGTGTGTGTGTGTGTGTGTGTGTGTGTGTGTGTGTGTGTGTGTGTGTGTGTGTGTGTGTGTGTGTGTGTGTGTGTGTGTGTGTGTGTGTGTGTGTGTGTGTGTGTGTGTGTGTGTGTGTGTGTGTGTGTGTGTGTGTGTGTGTGTGTGTGTGTGTGTGTGTGTGTGTGTGTGTGTGTGTGTGTGTGTGACTGGTTAACTGTGTGTGTGTGTGTGTGTGTGTGACTGGTTAACTGTGTGTGTGTGTGTGTGTGTGTCACTGGTTAACTGTGTGTGTGTGTGTGTGTGTCACTGGTTAACTGTGTGTGAGTGTGTCACTGGTTAACTGTGTGTGTGTGAGTGTGTCACTGGTTAACTGTGTGTGTGTCACTGGTTAACTGTGTGTGTGTGTGTCACTGGTTAACTGTGTGTGTGTGTGTCACTGGTTAACTGTGTGTGTGTGTCACTGGTTAACTGTGTGTGTGTGTCACTGGTTAACTGTGTGTGTGTGTGTCACTGGTTAACTGTGTGTGTGTGTGTGTGTGTCACTGGTTAACTGTGTGTATGTGTGTCACTGGTTAACTGTGTGTGTGTCACTGGTTAACTGTGTGTGTGTGTGTGTGTGTGTGTGTAGCTCCTCCAGGCTGTGAACACGCAGGCAGCTAAAGCCCAGCAGGCCAAGATGCTGTCCAATAAGAAGATGTTTGGCACAGGAGCCAATGAGGAGGCTGGATCCTCTGAACGACCGACCAGTCCAAACTCAGCTCAGCTTCCAGTGAGTATCCGTCAATCTGACGTGTGTATTCAGTGTTGTGGTTTAAAGTATGTGAGGTGAACAGTTACATCTATCCCTGTTTTTAATCCAATATGGGACATGTTTATTTATTGTATAGATTATTTGTTATTTGATTGATTCAGGGCATTCATTAAAATTAGTTAAATTGCCATAATTAATGAAATATTTAAAAAGCAAATGTCTTTCTCCTTTCATGAGGGGGTATTATTATTATTTAGTAATAAATAAAAAATCCAAATCAAATGAAAGATAAATAAAAATTGTAATAGATTTTTTTTTAAAGAAATTGAAAAACTGAAAAAATATATACACAATTACTTTTTTTTGTGACAGTTGCTTCATTTAAGGAAGGATTCAAATAAAAGATACATTAAAAAAATAATACACAAACCTAACTGAGTTTTAATGTTGAAAATCATTTTTAAAATGCCTCTTGTTTCATTCTCCTCCTTAAAAATGTATTTATAAAATCAGAGTTATTTTCTCTTTCACTCTCTCCTCTTACCTTCACACCTCGATTAACCTTCATACCGGCTCATCCTGCTTTCATCTCCTCGTACCCTCATTCTCCTTCTCTTCATCTCCTCACCTCTTCATCTCCTCACCTCTCCATCTCTTCACCTCCTCCCTCCTCTCCCCTTCCTGATTCCTTCTCCCCGTTAACTCTCTCTCCCTCTGCCTCTCCATCTCCTCATATCCTCATCCCCCTACCTCCTCATCTCCTCACCTCCTCTCTCCTTCCTAATTCTCCTCCCCGTTAACCCTCTCTCGCCCTTCCTCCCTCTCTCTCGCTGCGTCAGACAGAGGATGAGTCTCTGTGTAAAGACGGAAACAAAGAGAACAAGGTAAAGCGTTTCTGACGAGGCGCCCGTCTCCTACAGCTCGGATGTTGTTGGTTTCTTTACTCTCTTAACTTTTTAAACCCATGTGTTCTGAGCATGCAAACTCCCGCTCCCGTCTGACTCACAGTCTCCCTTCTGAACCACTTGCAATATAACATATTTTTGATTTGCTGAAGTGTCAGGGTTTCCTCCAGGGTTTAGAAAGCCTGACGTACACGATTCAGTTCTCACAGAAAATACTGTTTAAATATGAACTCTATGGAGAGGTGCAGTGACGCGTCCTAAAACCCGGAAGTAAACTCCTTCCGGTTCCTTCGACAAAAACGCATTGCAATTTCTCCATAGGATTTTGGAAAATAGCTGGAAATAAGGTCTGTGGTTGAGACACATTTAAGAGACGGATCACGTTTTGTTCAGCCGGATAGTCTCCACATGTCTACCCTACTTTTAGAATTTACTAAGCATAAATCTAGTCGCCAGAAGCAAAATGCTAATGCTATAAAGGAACTACAGCAGGGTCGCTGCTTCAACGTCACGCCGACTTAAGATCCATATTAAGACACACAGATTCTAAATGGTTCGAGTTGAAGCGTTTGTTTGAACAGTTTGCAGGAGGCAGGTACTTGCTTTCAAGCAGAACAGGGCAAACAAACTTAGAGGAGTGTTTACGTGTTCGGCGTAATGACGTACAACGGCCTCGACAACTTCTGTAGTCCTATCCAGCCACTTGGTAACAACCATCGTTTTTCAGACACGTCAACTCTTCAGAAACCACCAGTGGGGTCACTGCTGATGGATTTAATGTCGTAGAACAAAACGTGATCCGTCTCTTGACTTTGTCTCAACCACAAACCTTAGTTCCAGCTATTTTCCAAAAAAGGAGAAATTGCATTGCTTTTTCTCGAAGGAATCGGAAGTGGTAAAATGCTAACTCACTTCCGGGTTTTAGGACGCGTCACTGTGGCACTCTATAGGGAATCTTATTACTAGTCATACACCACTGCTTATAGTGTATGACATGTTATATATATATATTGTAGTACAATGCACACATTTTTTACTTTAACTCGTGATCTCAATATAACCTTATTTTATTTAATATTTATTTGACACAAGGAGTTACAGAAGATAAAGTCAAATAAATATTAATAATAATATGTTTTTTATTTTATTCAGTCTTTTTAAATTGAGTTACTGTCACCAAACCCAACTTCCCCCCAGAGTAAATGATATTTCTTGATTATCATTCTGATTGCTCGTTAACACCTATTTGCCACCAGGCTAACAACTGCTTGGCGGAAACCCTGAACTATTTACTGCACTGGATCCCAATGTTTTTTAATTTAGAGTCTTTGCATTTGAAAGGGTTGCGGTGTTCTTACATCTACAGGGTGTCCGCGGGGTCTTAAAAAGTATTAAAAGTTGATAAATCAATTTAGCGAAAATGAAGGCTATTAAAAAGTATTAAAGGGCATTTTCCAAGGTATTACATTTTGTAGCCAATAAGTATATAAATTGTCCAAAGAGGTCGTATTCTACAGTCTGCCTGAATGTAATCATTGCGTAGGTGTGTAGTGTGATTCTGTGTAGTTTATTTATGGCATCCCGTTGGATCTGACGTCATCTGAACAGGACATCGCACGCTCACTGCTTGATAGCGCGCGGAGGTCCGTTTACGCCGGTTGTTAAACAACATGGTTATGGGGAAATGCAAGTCTGCGTCCAAATGGTTGGAAGATAAGGAGGAAGGACAATCAATACTGTATATAGTCAATGTGAGGTAAAGTGTGTCGCCAATGTAACCGGTTAGAACTCAAAGTGGCGATGAGGTCTTAAAATGTATGGAAAGGGTCTTAAAAAGGTCTTAAAAGGAATTACATTTGACTTCAGGATTCCTGCATAGACCCTGATCTATCTAATGTGAAGTGTTCTCCCTGGCCATGGACATGTGACCTGTGATATGCTGCAATAACAATTTCATACTTAATTTTAATACACTTACCCTATGAAAACATATCTGCCGTACTGTAGTGGAGGTGGACCACTCCTGCTAATGTCAGATAAAAACATTACACTTTTATTTAACATAACAATAGAGAGATAGTTTTTTTTAGGCAGCATCGCCCTGGTTCCCTCCACGAAAAACCAATGGGATTTCTCCATGTGATTTTGGATTATAGCAGATTATAAAACGGACAAGTCAAATCAAGCAATCTGATTGGTTCTTAGCCGTGATATACTGAGCGTATACCAGGGGTAGAATTGTAGTTACTTTTCACAACAAGTCAGTATCCCTCCGCGTCTGAGAAAAACTGTACAGTTGGGCTGAAAAGCAAACTGTCTGCTTTTCAAACTGGAACAAGAAAACAGCGGAGAAGTAACGGGGCAGAAACCCTCCTTTTTACGCAGCGGTCCAGACATAGACATCAAACGGCAAAACATATTCAGTGTGCAGTTCCTTTGGCATTAGGGCAGGGATATCTAGATACTTTCCAAGGTTTGACATAATGAATTGTGCTACTTTTAAAGCAAGCAACCATGTTTTCAAATCTGTATCAAAATGGTCCACAAAAACGCTATCGAAGCAGTTCCTGCCGTTGCTACGTAGTTTATCCATGTATTTTTTCTTTTAATGTTTATTTTATTATCTTTCCTTTTTAATGACTGATTTTAAATGCCATTTTTAAAATGTCTTCCATTTTTGTAAAGCACTTTGAATTACCTTGTGTTGAAAGGTGCTATATAAATAAACTTGCCTTGCCTTGCCTTGCCTTGCCTTCAAACAATAACAACGGACTATTTTTGACTTCAAGGGGGTTGTCGACCCTCCGCTTCGCGTCGGGCCGAACCACGCCCCTTAGCTGTGATATACTGAGCATATACCACGGCCTGTCGTGAGCTATTGCTTAAATATAATCTCTGTGTCAAACAAACGTTTATGATACTTACACGTTTCAGCAGGATAATCTCCACACATTAACACCACTTTTTAAATACACCAGTGGGGTTTTTACTGGCGTGTTTTATGTCATCGTAGAACAAAACGCTAAAATGTCTTTAGTTTTGAGTAACCAAGGACCTTATTTCAGGATAGCAGCCAAACATATTTTTTTAAAACTTGGAGATGAGGAAACTGTGGGGGAAACTTCTGAAGCAATTGGAGTCAGGACTCAGAGAGACACGAGGAGAGCTGGAGCTTTGATGGCAAACACTGACGGTTTATTTGGAGCTTCGGCCGGAGAATTCACAAGACATGTCACGGGCCACGGTCTGACCACACGGATGAGACGCCACAATCAATTCTGAAGAGCCCTCCTGTAGCTCCAGGTTTTAACTAGTTCAGAGTGTAATAATTAACATTCTTCAATAGATAGACTAAACAGCTGAGGACACTGAATCACATTTGTTGTCGCTTATGGCTCGGGGTCATCTACACCCCGAGAAGGATGTGTTCCAGGTGTCCCACAACAATAACTATCACTGACCGACAGTTGCCCGGTCACAAACTGGCAACATCAACAACTTGCTAGGGCAGCCCCTCCTTATGGGAGATAACGGCTGCTCAAGGTTGGTCAACTGCGTCAGAGGGCGAAGGAGGACATGCAGGGCAAATTATTCCCCAACAGAAACCAGTAGTGATATTAGATCGATTAATTGCTGCACCACTCTATTAGTGAAGACCCTACATCCCACATTAAATGAAACATGTATATAAGTGAGGACATTTAAAAGGGCTTACCACCTCCACCTCCACTAAAAAATGTCCTGAACTGTTGTGAAAGACCCTTTTCATTATATTTCTCTCCCCTAGGACGAACAGTAACAAAACCTCTTACCTTTTTGATTCCAAAGCACTTTTAAGAAATGCATTCCTGTTTCTCTTTACATCTGATCTGTTGTTGGAGCATCCAGTTTATTAGGGGTGGGAATCACCCCACGATACAATACTATCGCGATACTTAAGCCACGATATGATAGTATTGCGATTCTTAAGCCACGATATGATAGTATTGTGATACTTAAGCCACAATATGATAGTATTGTGATACTTAAGCCACAATATGATAGTATTGCGATACTTAATATACGATAATATCGCGATACTTAAGCCACAATACGATACTATCGCAATACTTAGGCCACAATACGATACTATCGCGATACATACGATACTATCGCGATACTTAAGCCACAATATGATAGTATTGCGATACTTAAGCCAGGATGCGATACTATCGCGATACTTAAGCCACAATACGATACTATCGCGATACATACGATACTATCGCGATACTTAAGCCACAATATGATAGTATTGCGATTCTATGATATGCTAAGTATTGGGATACGATATATTGCGATATATTGCGCATATATATTGATGTATACGATTGCATGATATATTGGGTTCCAGTGTCTTTAGCATGTGACAAAAGCCTTCGGTTTCCACAGCGCTGATTGGACGCAGGTCTTTGCACAGGAAGTAGTTGATCGAGTTATTTTCTTCGCTCGCTCAGAATTTGATGGTATCTTTGCCAAGCTCATTTGGATTTGCAATATGAATAGTTTATATAATAAAATATCGATACTTGGCGTCCATGTATCGATACAATATCGCCACGCATAGTATCGATTATTTCCCCCACCCCTACTGTTTAGTGTATTTCTGTGTCTCACGGTGGTCTCCTGTGTTTCTGCAGATGAAGTCTGGAGGCGGCGGTCGTCGAAGAGGGGGTCAAAGACATCGAGGGAAAGCAATAAACGCTGCAGCGATCCCCACAGCGGTCCCTGCAGGCGCAGCAGGAACCGCCTGATCTCCATCTTTACTCTGAGGGGAGGGAAGTGACGGCTCGGCCTCTGGATGGAAACGTTTCCCTTATATAAAATAATAACTCATCATGAGAGAGTGAATTTCCTTCCAGGTTAAGACAATGTAAAGCTTTATTGGTGTCTGAAGATGATTTTTATTTAGTTTTATTGCAGTTTCTTGCAATTTAAATGCATTATATTACCTTTTTCTATTTGAATACTGGAGTTTTGGGGGTGTTTGTAGTTCACCAGTTGTTTCATAGCGTTATCTGAGTACATCAGAGGCAGAGCAGTCACTTTCCCTCCCTAAATGTTCTCCATCCTCCACAATCAAATGTGTTTTTTTTCCCTCTGTTGCTCATCTCCTCTTGTGTTCACCTCCACGTGACGTTCATTAATCCATTTTTTACTGTCACAGAAAGAGGAAGTAGTTGAAAAGCATCATTTCTAATTGTTTTTCTTACAATGCTCCGTGTCTCTGAGAGTAGCAGTTCACATACAGTCGGTGATTTATTACAATGAAAGGGAATTAATGCCAACCTTAGAATAAACAATAAAACAGCTAGATGATAATTAACTATACTTCCTTGTGTCACAGTGCCGGGTTTGGTGAGGTTTGTTTACAAAGAAAGTTATTGTCCTATACAGGTTTTTGGAATTAAAAAGCTTACGGTCAGCACGGTCACATGACTTCACGTCACCACCGCTAAGCTAAAGGTGGCTAATGTTGGGCGTGATGGCGTGTAGTCGTCTCACTAGTGGGGTATTCACTGACAAATTGTACGTCGTAGAACAAAAATGTCTTCCGCTTGTCACCTTATTTGAGACTAACAACCCAAGACACATCCAGAAAACCATTGACTTCCAGACCAGGGGACAGGAAGTGATAAAATGCTTATTTATTTCCCGGGTTTTAGGACTCGGGGCTTCTCATGATACACATCGAAAGATAAAGAGCAAAACAGTCTCTTGTCAATTTTAACCTCACATTGTCTACGATTAATCCTGCCATAGAAAAGTCATTTTATCAGTCAGACCTTCCTTTCTGGAGCTAATGTCTCAGTTTTTCTAGATCCAGATCAGAAAGAAACCCCTTTGTTTTTCCCCAAAGTAACGTCACATGTCAAACTGGCTTTGTCGCAGTTAACGTTTGCAGAAGTCCTTTTGAATTCCCCTGCCTAGTTTGCTTGGAAACATCTGAACACAAGAGCACAATTTCTCTTCCGTTTCAATCGCAGTCTGACTTCCTGAAACACACAATTTTGATGATTGTACAACAATTATTCATTCAGCCGTGGTGTTCCACACTTAAAATGTAAAAAAAAAAGAACATTTTTAAATCACTAACAGATGATGCCACTGGGACGTAAAGGTCATTAGGATGTGTCCGACATCTTTTTCAAAGCTTCAAGGGTCAAACCCAAACATGTCACAACGTCCAACACAACGACTTTGTCAGTCTGTATTTTAAAGATATTTTAAAGGATTCAGTGTTGAGTCTGCAGAAGTGAATCAACCGGAGGAAGGTGAACAGAAGCTGGTCTGAACACATCATCTGATTGTCTTTAAAAAAGCTAAAATAAACCATTAATCTAGAGTCCAGTTTAACAGAGTTTTCTGCATATGTTATCCAGTTGTTCGATCGTTCCCAGTTGATATTAACGAGGAAACTACATAAGTGTGTTTGAGGGCTTTGAGCCCCGATGTCCCCTTCCATGTCTGTATAATAATGGTCAGGTTTTCTCCGACAGTCTGTAAAGCCACTGAATTAAACATGTAATCAAAGATCACAAACAAACTGAACTGCCAGAATATTAGAGATTACCAATTTTTTTTTTTGAAGGGACACTCTTGTGTGTTTGTACGTTGTGCAAGGATGAAAAAAAAAGATGCCATTTAAATTAAGTGGTGCCAGTTTGTGTTGTAAATCCTTTTAAATAAAGATGTTATAGAAAACTAACATGTGGAAAGTACTTCTTACATTCGAGTCATTCAGTTGATGCTGTATACAAGAGGATTGGACACATGGAGTCGAGCAGGATTAAGCTGAAGCTTCATAACTGCTTTTGGATGTTTTTATACCATTATTACCTCTGAACATTATACCTACATATACACACCGTCACTGAAATTAAAAGAGTGTCCTTTTCAGTCATAAGATCATGGGGCATCTTTGTTAGTCACACTGTAAAGGATGTTATATTAGCATCTGGTTCAAAAGTAGTTAGAACGAGGTAAAGGAGAAAAAAAAGTTTACGTGATAATCAACCTTTAAAGAACTTCAAACGCTAAATTATGTATTTGGCTAAATCACGTATAGAATATTTACTCTGGTTTTAAAATCTTACTTAAAGTGGACCTATCATGCTATATTTGAATAATATAGTGTAGGACCATACCTATATAAGGCATATTTATACTTTTTTTTTTTCAAAATACCAAACAGATCATGCATTTTAGCCATGCCTCATTTCGCTCTATTTGACATTTTTTAGCTCTGCTCTGCAAGGGCAGATTCAGTGAGAACAGCACCACCTACAGGCCTGGCATATGTACTACAGCGTCTCCAGCACTTTCGAACGGCAATGGCCGTGGCTGTCTCCTCCTGATTGGTGGAGTTGGCCCAATAGCCGTAGCGCCACCGTCCTGACGTCAGGACAGTGTTCAAATCTGGATCAGTTTTTATCAGATCCGTTGCAGCCCCTTTTTTAGAGATTTGGGTATGGAGGAAAATAGAGAGGGTTGTGTTTTCTGACACTTGGTGAGTTCCCTGGAACACCGGGGACACATATTCATGTAGAAAAGACGTACAAAAGTGCATTTTGCATGATAGGTCCCCTTTAAATAAATGTACTAACATACTAGCATAAAAAAAAAACACACACACACACACACACACACACACACCCACACACACACACACACACGGCCGCCCTTCCCTACAGGCCGATCATGCAAGCTGCATGGGGCCTCACATTGCGCAGCGGGCCTCGGCTTATGAGCTCGGCTTGTGCGCAGCTCTCAGCGCATTCTTTATTTACCATTCATTCAAGTATGTTATGCCTTTTATCTGCTAATGTTCAGGAGGAAGAGTGATACACTGTCTGTCTAGTTGGCTTACATAACAGTTAAAGTTTGAGACCTGAGTTCTTGTGAATTGTTAGATGTGCTCCAGTTTAAAACCTCACTTTGTGGCTTCAGTAGACAGTTTCCTCTCCTTTTTCTCTCGCCCGGTTATTTTCCGGGATCTTTGAGACAAGGAGTGAGTATTTGATTGTATAGTGTTGATATTGTGTTTGGTGGTGAGCACTCAGTATATAAGTGTAGCATTGGCTGAAGTCTCTTACTGTTTAACATAGGGCTGTGCGATTATGGCAAAAATCATAATCACGATTATTTGGGTCAATAATTGATATCACGATTATTAAATACGATTATTCATTGACTTTGAAAAAATCCATTTATTGAACTTTAAAACAAATACAAATAATAATTTGAACAGTATCTTTTTAACTGTTGATTACCCTGAACGTATAATTCAACTGAAAAACCAATACAAAAATAAATGATACATTTAAATTAATATCAAAATAATAAATACCAATAAACAAGATCAACAAATATTTTGGAGCTACTAATCATATATAAATATGATAAATACTAATAAATGAGACCAAAATTAATTAGATCAAATATGTTGCACTGTCACAACCTAGCAAAGCAAAATAATCGTTTTTTTCGATTATGTTGTTTTCGTAATTGTGGCAGGCCAAAATCGTAATTGCGATTAAAATACGATTAATTGCACAGCCCTAGTTGAACAGCTTCCTCAGTTTAGATATGGGAGTGTCTAGCTGGGCTGAATCAGTCCTTCCTTCAGGCACTCATTTATTATTTTGCCGTTTTTATTTTTTGGAGGCATTATGGACTTTTGTTTTTATTTATCATTTCATACACAAGTAAAAATTGTTTGGGTTTCACAAACACACACAGACATTAAACTCCACTATAAAACAAGAAAATATATTAGTGAGCTCACTTGAAAAAATAACCCAAAGAATGGCAAGCACAAAAAACTGACTTCGAATCCTACGGTATTTATATTTTGAAGACATTGATTTTGTTAACATGATTCTCTCTCTCCGGAGACCAGACAAATCATCAGAATATTTCACTGTTAAAGAAGAGACAATTCCATGGTCCATTATAATGGATCATTAGTTATTTGACAAAAATGTTTTAAGGAATGCCCAGAGGAATTGTAAAGGACAGGTAATCTCCCACCTCCCCCAACTCTGCTCTGTAGTGCTGGAAAAACATAATCAAAACGGAAGTGACTATTGAGGGCGGGACGTTTTCAAAATTCGTGCTGTTGTGACTGTGTTGACAAATCTTACATGTTTCGCATCGATAAAGACCTTTGTCCTGACCCGCATTGTATTAATTGGAAAACGATAAAGCACAATGTCTTCAAAGATTCAAAGAGGTGTGCAGCTCCCTGCAGAAACAAGAAAACTGGTGACAAGGAAAAATGTTGCTCCCAAAGTCCCCAACGGGTTATCCACCAGGTATGGGCAACAGGCAGGGCTCAAGGAGCAACACCAGCATCTGATGGCTACCAATGAGGAGCTGCAGAAACACCTCTCAGTACACAGCAAAGAGCAGCTGAGTTGGAGCTGCAGAAAAACCTCTCAGTACACAGCAAAGAGTAGCTGAGTTGGAGCTGCAGGACAGTGAACATTGAAAAGGAGAATGTAGAAGTACAGAAAAACCTGAGGGACTGTCATGTCCTCTTAGTCGTAGCCAACATAGACCAAGTTGTAGGAGAAAAAGGAGAGGAAACTGTCTACTGAAGCCACAAAGTGATGTTTTAATGGACAAAAGAAAAAGGGCTCACCAGCCAACTTGCAAAGCAAAGTACAATAAACAATACATAAAAAGGTAAACTGGAGCACATCTCCTAACAATTCACAAGAACACAGGCCTCACACAGAGACAGAAGCCTCATCTCAATACCCCTCCTCGACTCCTCTCTTCCCCTCCTCCGGGACTTGACCCGGAAATCGATCAAGACACGCCATTTTGAAGGACGTCCCAATAGCTGAAATGCACACGGAGGAGTCGAGGAGGGGTGAGGGAGGAGACGAAAGGGAGGATACACGAGAGCAGACTACGCGGAAGTGTTGTCACTACTCGCGTATAAAAGCCCCGCCCCCACCTTCACAGCTGGTCGATTTCAAGAGAGGAAAACGGAGAACTGGAAGAATGAGTGGAAAAGTGTCACATAAATGTATAAGTGCTCACAGCTCCGTGGGAATTATTATGTGCAATTCATTTCTTAAGGTTATACTAACAATTTAAGTCATGTTTAATGATCTTGAACGTCACTAAAACATAGCTATTAAGAAAGCTATTTCATAAATGGCTAGATCTTGATAAATAACAATTAGGCCTATTTGTTTTGTTTTGTGTTAAAATATTGAGTAGTTAAATTATTTAAAATGCACAGTCCTGAATGTGGGTTTGTGGTGAATGTGGGGATCTACAGGACACACATTTTCAGAGTAAAGGCTTTCACATTACTTTAATTATATTTGTATTTAAATGTAGGCTACATTTTACACCAAAACGGAACACAAAAGCAGGACCAACAATCATACATTGAATTCCTTGACTAACAAGAGAAAGATTCATAATTTAAATACATATTTAACAACAAATGGGCCGGTTCTAAAGGGTTATTCAGTTAAGCCCGATGAGAGGGGATACAGCTGTGCACATGTCATCATTAACAGACGTCGTTTAAGAGTGACGTTTGAGTGAACGAGGACATCCCAATTAATACCTGAGGACTCCTCTGTCCTCGCGTCACCTCCTCGTGTCTCTCGCTCGCATCTTACGGAGGCGGAGCTAAGACGCAAGGAAGGGACGCGAGTGAGGGAAAGGAGGAGTCGAGGAGGGGTATTGAGATGAGGCTACTGACATGCTGCACACATGCAGCCAGAGGAGAAGGAGAGAGGCCACTGCAGCCTTCCTCAGGTCCTTTATGGAGGCCCTGATTGGGGATTGGGAGCACCTGGGGAAGAGGCTGCACCTGGAGACAATCACGGAGAGAGAGAGACACACACACAAAAGCACACACACACAAGCACCAACTGCGGCACGTAACAATTAGCGACCCCCACAGATGTATGATTTCACTGCGTCCTTGGGAGCTCAGCTCCCATTGGCTCCCACATAACTCGAACCCTGATTGTAGCGTATCGCTATAGAAACACAGGGAGGCTTTGTTTGTCCTTTATCCGGAAGTTTATTATAAAGATCACAGGTTACTGTTGGCCGTAACCACGCCAACACAATCCACTAACTCTGTTAAAATCCCACCCACCCCACAGCCACAGGTCACAAGAACCATCCATCAAAACAGTGACACGTTCACTGACACTCTGCAAAATGCAAACAAACTCTGAACAACAAAACGCATCAAACATCAACATTATAACCAGTCCGTTACAATATGTTGTTCCTTTAATTTAACATGATCATTTAGGTGGCATACTAGGAGGAAATGGCGCTAATGCAAATGTGTGGTTTTAACTATAAGGTTAATAAATAAGGTTTATCATTCTTTCTGCCTTCACATGATACAGGGATTCATGAAGTGAAGGTGTGGGTAGCAGATACTGTAAGATTCACCCACAATGAGTCATAGAACTATGCAAACTGGTTTACTGACATTCCTACTGTGTTGATTCTGTATGGAGATTGTTAAGTGACAGTGGTTACATAACATTCTCAACCAGCAAAACCTGAGCACATGCACGAATGCACGAGTCAGGTGGCACAGGTACTTAAATAATGTAGACCAGTGCCAGAAGAAGGCAGAAGAATTCACAGACCACTGCTTGAAGCCTGCAGTCGAAAAGTTTGTCAACCGCTCCCTGGGTCCTGATATCATTG